GGTCTTCGGGTTGGGTTGGGGTGGTCTGGTAGGCAGTCAGAAAGAGTAGCGCCTCCCAGGGCCGACGCGTGAAAACCCTCCAGTTTCGATTTTCTCTTGGTGCTCGAACTCATTTTGGGTGATCAAGGCGCTTAAGTAAGCTGGAACATCAAAAGCGGTGCACAGGTGACGGCAACAGGCGTGACCTTGGGGAGGGGGAGGGGGGGGGCGTGACCTCGGGTGGGCGGGGGGGCAGGGCTGGTCACAGGCGTTATCGCAAACTGAGAATAACGGCTCCAGCTGGCACTTCCGAACGTTGTGGGGAATCGTTCCGCCGTGCAGCCGATCCGCCGTGCTTTCCGGCAGGAGGAGGAAAAGGAGGGCAGAGGAGGAGGAGGAGGAGGAGGAGGAGCAGGAGGAGGAGGAGGAGGAGGAGGAGGAGGAGGAGGAGGAGGAGGAGAAGGAGGAGGAGGGAGGAGGAGTAGGAAGAGGGAGTTGGAGGAGGACGAGAGGAGGAAGAGGAGCAAACTGGAGATGGGGGGAAGCGGAGGCACGCAGGAGGCGGGGCATGTCGGCGGCGCGGACAGGGGGGGATCGCCAGAGGGGGGCGGTCTTCAGGAGGGCGGGGGCTTCTAAGACGGGATGTGGCTTCCTCAGAAGCGCTTTGATGCTCCTGATAGGGCTTCTTAGGCGTGAGGAGGGCTGTTGAGAAGCGTCCTGCCTTCTCGGAGAAGCCCCTCGCCTTCTCAGAAGGTCTTGAGGGCCTTCGTGGGCCGATGCGCGTCGACTGCGTGTGGCTCTTGTCTGGGCAGGTGAGGGATGCCGTGGGATTTTTCAGTGGAAGAGCGCTTCAGCCTCCTCCTCCTCCTCCACTTCTCCTTCTTCCTCCTCCTCATCTTCCCCCTGACCCTCCCCCTTGACCTAGATCATCGCTCCTCCCTCTCCTCCTCCTCCTCCTCCTCCTCCTCCTCCTGCTCCTCCTCCTCCTCCTCCTCGTTGGGGGTGTTTCTTTGCTCTGTGGGTGCTCGCGCCGTGTCCCGGTCTGGGTGTTCGGGCTCAGGGCACGTGGCGGTCGTTTCTCTCCGTGTGACGAGGAGGCGTCAATCGGTGTTGGGAGCGATCAGCTTGTCGGTCGAGCATGTCGGTCGATGGATGACGTGTTTCAAAGGTGTTCAAGAGAACGCGCGATGCAATGTCAGAAGTGGTCCGACTCCATTGGTTTTAGTATTCCGATCTCCGCAGGAGCTATCCTCGGCGACGCGGCCCACTCTGCTGCAATCGGCTGCTGCCACGACACCAGCGAAGCTTGCCAAGTCCGCCTGGCACGGATAGAACGCGCGCCTGTCACAGTTTTTGCGGTGAAGAGACGACGCATGGTACAGTCACGTTTTTTTTGTTGTGTGTGTGTGTGCGTGTGTGCCCTCCCGTCCGAATATTTCGCACGTGGCCGTCTGGTCCCTTGCCTTCTTCGCGACCTTTCAGACCCTCGCACCGTGGTTGCCTCCCTCATGCACCTCCGTGGCCCCATTAATGTATCGGTGCTACCAGGGGCGACCCCAACCTTTTGGAGGGGCCCAGGTTGCCTCCAAAGCTCCTGTCACGAGGCCCATCGGGCCTAGGAGTCCCAGCACAGCGCGAAAAGCAGGGGGACACCTCACGCCAGGATCCCCGATGGCTACCTCCGAGAGGGCGCTGACGTGGAAGTTTGTTTGAAGCCGCCCCCCTGGGAAAATCGTAGTTTGTGTTCATGTGGTGCGTGACGCGCGTGCGAAGCTGTGCGTGCGGTCCCCGTTGATATTTTACTCCTGCTGCGGCGTGAGTGACCTGTCGGGTGTCCCCGCGGTGTCCCGATGTTGCTTCTACGAGGTCCCTATATTCCCCGATTGATATCCGATAGTGTCCCGATTATTTTCAATGGTGTCCAGCACGTGTTTCGAGTGGTCTTCTATGACGTCCCACCCATTTATCAATTGTGCCCCAATGACGTCCCGCTGGATTTGAATGATTTGCGAAGATGCCCCGACGGTGTTTCTCCCAGTGGTGTATCGATGGCGTCCAGAAGGATTTTCTGATGGGCATCCCGATTTGTGTGTCGATTGTTTCCCGATGGCATCCAAATTCATCCCAATGGTGTCCCGATTGGCATGAGCTGGTGTCCCGCAGGGTTCTCGCTAAGAGATAATTTGATAATCGCCTGACTCCATGTTGTAGATACAATTCGACATGTATGTATGCACATATATATATATATATATATATATATATATATATATGTATGTACGTATGCATATATGAATGCATGCATGACTGCAAGTAGGCATGCGCGTACGTGTGGACATATGCATGCATGCGGATGTCCGTGCACGCATGCACGGATGCATGTACGTATGTATGTATGCATCGATGTAGGTACGCATGTGTGTATGCATGTATGTATGTATGCATGTATGCATGCATGCATTTATGCATGCATGTGTGCATGCATGTGTTTATGTCATGTAATGATTCATGCATATCTGCATGTCTACACACATATGTTTATATTTATGTATGCATGTGTGTATGTATGTGTATAGGTATGTGTATATATGTATGTTTGTGTGCTGGTATGCATGTATGCATGCACGTACGTACGTATGTATGGATGTATGTATGTATGCATGCGTGCATGCATGCATGCATGCATGTATGCATGTATGCATGTATGTATGTATGTATGTATGTATGTCTGTCTGTCTGTCTGTCTGCATGCATGCATGCATTTATGTATGCATATCTGTTTGTATGGATGTGTTCATGTATGCCTGTGTGTTTATGTATGCATGCATGCATGCAAGCATGTATGTATGTAGGTCTGTATGTATATGTGTAGGTATGCGTATGCATGCATACATGCATGGATGCATGGATGTATGCGTACAATGTATGCACACACGCGTATCTCTCTCTATACATATATATGTATGTATATATATATATATATATGCACATTAATTTCTTTTGGAAATCACGTAGCCCACCCGAATAGTGGGTTTTCCGATCCTCACGCGCGCCTTTGCAGAGCGTTTTCTCGAGTCACCCGGCCGCCTTGACGTCCTGGCCGGCCTTCGAGAACAGGCTCGAAGCGGTCGGGAGGGCGCCCAAGGCCTAACGGGAGCCCAAAGTTCGATGGGACAGTGAGATGGGCAGGCCTTTGGAGAAGGTGGCGGGGCTTCTCAGAAGCCCTCGCGCCTTCTGAAAAGATGTCTGTGGTTTCTGACGAGTCTTACACAACTTCTAGAAGGCGCTCAGGGCTTCCGAAAAGCCCCGCCGCCTTCTGAGAAGGCATGCCCCCTCTCACTTCCCCCCTGGGCTCGCCGCCGACAAGTGACCTCAGAACCTCCCGAGACGCCCCAGGACGAACCAACCAAGAACCCCCAGAGACCCTCAGAACAGTAAACCTATGTTACTATGGCTTTGGTTTCGTGGACATGCGCTTCTTCGGTTTTCTGGGCGTCCAACACCGCCAAAGAGGCCCTCCAGATCGCCCCGAGACAGGCTAGAAAAGATTCGAGGGCCAAGAGAGCCACAACATGGTCCAAGACGGCCCCAAGAAAGCCGCAATACGGCCCAACATGACCCGAAGACGCCCCCCAAGTCAAAGCACTCCACATCGAGACACGGCCGTTGAGGGAAATTGCGGTTGGAAGCAAGTTGGTTCGAAAAGGCACCATAAGCTCCCGAAAAGTTATCAGGAGGCCTGCAGAACAGAACAGAACAGAAGCCTTGCGCCGGCCACAGCGCGTGAGCAATGTAACCAGACCGCCCGGCTCAAACACCGAGCTTCTGACTGGATCTTCGTCTGGTCTTCTCGCCAAATGGCCCATGTACAACATCTGTCTACGCGCAAGACTATGGCTCAGAGGCGTCTGTTGGCTGATCTGCAGAACTGCACGGTTCGACACCCGACTGATGTACGACGGAGAGACTCTGCAAATACGTCTGAGACAATAATTCTGGAACCCGTCGAGCCGTCTTCGCTCGGCCTGGTTAAGACACGCAGTGAATAATACATACGTGAGTTTGGAAACAACGCAAGCATTAAATATACGTAGTTTCTGTCTCCTACTCAAAGTCGAATGCGACCATATTCTTGCAAGCACCTTGAAGTCACTTCTGGCCGCCCCAATTCTCCGACTCAGTTCTGTGCCTATGCGCCCGTCCGAAGCAAGAGACGTCCCGAGATAAGTTAATGATTGCTTGGCTGGGATGGGGACCTCGTTGCGTCCCAAAATATCAGCTTCGGTCCTTACTTTCATAAGTTCCAACTTGCCCCAATTGAACTGCAGCCCGCACTGGCCCCCGCACTCCTCAATGCAGCGCATCAGCTCTTGAACGAGGGCTGGGTCGGAGTCTATGAGCAACGTGTCGTCCGCGTACACGAGCTCCCTCGCAAACTGGTTTTCAGGTATCGGTCCGGCACGACTCTGAAGCAGCGCGTGCGCGTCCGTGAGAAGCGTCGTCATCACAATGGTGAACAGAAAAGGGGACAGCGGACAGCCTTGGCATATGCCGTACCTCTGCTGATGGATGCTGGACGTGGCCCCGAAGTCCCTCACGACGAAGTTGCGCTCGCTGTAAATCGACACGACGACGTCCACGAAAACTTCTGGGCAACCAAATCTCCGCAAAGACCCGGCGAGCGCGTCCGGCGAGACCGAGTCGAATGCCTTGGCCCAGTCGAGTGCCAGGAACAAGCGACTTGCATCTCGTGTTGACCATGTGTCGTCCAGCACCCGGCGGGCTAGGAACACTGCGTCTGCCGTGCCCCGCCCGGAGCGGAACCCGAATTGGGTTCGCCAGATGCGGTCTTCGGCCCCCGCCTGCTTCAGCCTCTGGAGCAGGATGGTTGCGAACAATTTGTAGCCGATGGGCGAGATACTGATGGGGCGGTAGTTCTCGCATTCTGCAGGGTCGCCCTTCTTGAACAGCATCGACACCCTCGCATGCCTCCAAGCTTCTGGGATCTTACCTTGTCTCCAAACGTCGGTGTAGAATTTTGCCAGATAGCTCGGGAGACCTCCCGCGTCGCTCGCCGCTGCTTTCCAGAATTCGGGTGGCACCCCGTCAAGGCCAGAAGCGCGTCCTCGCTTCAATTTCGCAGCTGCGGCCTTCACCTCCCCCACTGTGATATCACCCATGGAGATGGGCAGGTCGTTGTCGGCAATCCGTGCAGCAACTGGCGGTGCCACTGACGTGGGTCTGACTGCCCACTGCACCCTCTCGAGGTAGTCGGCCAGAGTCTCAGCACGCTGGTCCGTCTCCACAATGCCCTTGTTGACGTCACGAAGCCTGCCCTGTCTGCGGACAGGGCCTTTCCGGAGCCTCCTAATCTGATTCCAATCAGCGGATTCCGTGACCGATTCGATCCAAGCGGCCTTGTCCCTGGCAACCGAAGCGCGGATTTTCTTCGATAGGCGCTTCTCCTCGTCAGTGTCGCCCTGCCTTCTGGCGCTCCCGCGGCGCTCGATCAGCCCCAGCGTTCCGGCGCTCGTCCACGGCCTTGTGGTCCGCCTCGGAAGGAATGGCAACGTGCGTTCGGCAGCGTGATGAAAACCGTCCACGATACGACTCCAACCAAGATCGACATCCTCGCCTCCAGCTGCTGTGTCCTCGAAGCCCTCCAAAGCATTCAACATGTTCACGTTGAAAAAACAAGCGGCGAGTGGGTCGGAGAGGGCTGTGACATCAAGGCGTGGACTCTGACTCGCAGGCGCCGTCTTCTCAACTGACATACGGACACACGCAGTCAACAAGAAATGATGGGTCGACAACGGCACGTCGTGCCTAGCAGCCACGCCAGTGATGTCCCGGAGAAAAGTCCTCTCGCAGAGTACGAAATCGATCTGCGAGTGCGTCGAGGATCCAATTTGTAGCCCGGCAGGCGTACCCACGTTGTAGTTAGTGACAAGGTTGTGATCCGGCACGTCAAAAAATGTGTTTGCAACGCACATGTTCAGATTCTCGCACATCTCAACCATGAGGTGCCGGTTGGCGTCTTCCTTGCACGTCTGGTGGGGGTGTTTGAAAATATAGGGCCCCACCGCGTCACTCTCTCCATCGAGTTGGCCATACAACTTTGCATTCATGTCTCCTAACACAAGCTTGGGTCCATGAGCGGATCTTGTGGAAACGAATTCTGACAAACTCGTGAAGAAGTCAAACCGCCGCCGGAACTCGTAACCGCTGTGCGGCGCGTATGCAGAGAAAATAACAGCTTTACCTCCTGGGATCCGAAGCTTGAGCGATGCCATGCGGTCCGTCGCCTGGCAAAATCC